TGTTTTAAATAGTTGATTGTGCTAGTATTTGCTGTATATATATATTTATTTTTTGCATATATATTTATGATTATAATCTCTTTCTCTTGGATTGCTCCATATGTAGTGACTTTTTTTTTAATCTCTCTTAATCAATCTTGGTTTGAAGTCCACTTTGTCTGCCAATATAATATCTACCTCTGCCTTTTTTCTTTGTTCCTGTTCTGTGGAGTATTGTTTTCCATCATTTGACTTTCAGTTTCTGAATTCTTTTTGAATTAAGTGTTTTTGTTGTATGCAGCATATTTTTGGATCTTGCTTCTTGATACATTCTGCCAGTCTCTTCTGATTAGTGAATTGAGACTATTAACATTGATTGTTATAACTGAAATGTATTGATTTATTTTCTTGTTGGTGATTCCCCTTTGCTGCCCCTCTGTTAATTACTTTCCTTGCCTGGTGGAGTACTTTGTTGGGGTTCATGGAGTTGTAGTTCTCATTATCTCTTTCTATAACATCTTTGAGAACATTTAACAATGCTGGCTTGGCAGTCAAGAATTTCTTTATGTGTTCTTTGTCATGAATGTATCTTATTTCTTCATGAATTTTGAAAGATAGTTTTGTGGCATACTTCAGTCTGGATTGGACATTGTTTTCTTTGAGAACTTGAAATACTTGACTCCATATTCTCCTTGACTTGAGAGTTTCTGTTGAGAATTGTGCTGTGATTTTGATGGGCATTCCTTTATCAGTGATTTGTTTATTTTCTCTGCTTTTGATATTCTGTTCTTGTATCAAATTTTGACTATAATGTGACTTTGTGTAGCTTTTTCTTAAATTGCAGTTGATTGCAGTTCTATATGCCTCACTTTTCTGCATGTCAAATTATTTTTCTCTGTTTGGGAAGTTTCTGTGAACAGGTTATTTTTTATGTCATTTGCATTTCAAGACGTGTCTCTACTGTAACTGGTATACAAAGTGTATAGACAGAGTCCAGATCCATGTCAATTAATCCCAGAAATCTAGACATAGACATGTACTGGGTAGTTTATGATCCCAGCATGCCTGTACCTTTTTTTCCACTGAAGTTCAGGCTGGTTTCTGGCTGTGAAATGGAGACCTGATTGGCTTAGCCTGCAATAGTTATTGTGCCTCCTGCTAGCTTAAACTCAGCTTCTTACATGCTTGAACTCAGTTCATTGACCTCCTGCCAATTTGAACTCAGTTCAGCCTCACCTGACACTGTGAACCACTTGATGGAGACAGCCTGCAGTTGCCCTTAGTTCTTGCCCTCAGTTAGCTTCGCTCTAAGGTAACTACCAGCCAATTGCTCTCTGCTTGGGGACTCTGAACCTGAATAACTCACTGGCCACTGCAGTCCCCTGTATGTACTGCTCCATTCCACTGGTGTTTCTCTGTGGAGGCCTCTGAAATTATCAGTAGTTACCATGCATCTGTAGGTTTGAGCCACCCTCACATGCAGTAAATCAGGGCTCAATAAGAAAGTGCCACTTGCCACTTCCTTCTTCTTTGTTAAAGTCTTTTTCTTCTCCTGTACTTTTCATTGTAGAGATTAATGAAGACTTAGGTAGGGCAACTGCTGCCAATAGCTTGAAGAGTCAAAGTTTCTCATTTCATATCAGTAGTCATTCAACTCCAGTGGCCTGGCGTACACTCTGAACACTAGTGTGTACTTGTTGAAGGTCAAAAGCATGAGTAAATGATTGAACAGCTGATTAAAATCAATGGATTGTTACACAGATTGGGCTCTGGTGAGTCTATGCTTGCCTGCAATGGACTGTAATGAAACATGAGTGTGGAGGACCACCTGAGCAGCTCTCCTTGAAAGAAGAGTGACTGTCTCCATTTTGACTGAGCCCGACCCTGTTTCCTCATATTGTTCTGTACAGAGCTGGCTAGGACTTCTCTTTATCCTCCAATTGGCATTAAGCAATGTATATTGGTCTAGCCGAGGTGCTGGTGATAGTCTTTCAAGGTGGCGTGTGTATTTTCCTGGTAACCTATACCTGCTGTTCTTTAATGTGAGCCGGGTCGAGGTAGGACGGTAGAGCTAATGCTCCATGCTGCCAGCTGGGATCGAGCCTGGAGATAGAGGCCGTGACTTCCTGGGGCTTGAAAGACTGCATTAAAGCTGAAGCACCAGACTTAACAAAACATTAGATACTATATAATGCAGATTACTCTCTCTGCATATCCTCTCTGCATATCACAGAGGTGAATTTAGGCCACCAACCTAGCTCATAGTAGTCACCTACTTCCCACAATTCTCAGTCAATCCTCCTCAAGCCTCTCCTCCACTAAATAAAACCAGGTGAGGCCCTGGGTTGCTCTCTTGGTTCCAGAAAGCCATCTTCATGGCTGGACTTAGAGCCCCTTGACTCCCTGATGATTGAAAATATAATTTAGTGTCTTTATTTTTGCTGTGGGTTACATTGAAAGTGGTAGATTGGAATCAACTTGATGGAATTCCAATAATATAACTTTGGGATTACAAATATTAGCTTCTTAGACTGAGACAAGGATCTGAAAATGTCTCCTACACATGAGGATCTTTTTCTGCCAGCTGAGTACTTTGGGGAAGTGACCAAAGCATCATTAACTGCACTCCAAGTCACTATTGTCAGGAGTTCTAGATGTTTCACTCTCTTTATTTAACAATGGATGATGAATCCGGTGACTGGACCAGCCTACCATTTATATCTCCCATGCACATCTCAAATCCTTCTCTGCTGTCTCTAGCTTTCACCTCAGGTTAAGTCACCATCGTATGCACTCATGCTGCATCAGTCTCTCCAGGGGCTCACTGATTTCCACTCTTGTTATTTCCACCCTTACAAATAGCTGTCCATGATGCTCTATCAATGGAGTCTACGTGTTTCTTTCAGGGCACAATTACCTATTGGTATGCATATCTAATTATTGCTTTGCTCCAGCTAGACTTTGAGCCCAGGAGCACAGAGATCTTTCTTATGCACCATTGTAGTCCACCCCACCTTCCTACTCAGTGTAGCACACAAGTAGCCAGTGAATTCGTGTGTGTCAATTCTCAAGGGCTCAAGACTACATCTGAACTCACTTTAATTTATCAGCACCAAGAATAATGCCCAATCATCCCATAAGTATTTGCTCTATGATTAATTTAGTAGATGAAGAGATAACTGAACTTTCTGAGTTATGTAAAACTCCATTTGAACTGTCCTAACCCCTGATTCTGTAGCTGCAAAACTGGAACTAATACTTACTATATAGAGGCCCTAAGAATGGTATTAGACATGGGAAGGGCTCTCCATAGTGTTGGACATAGTGTTTATTCTCAATGTTTCTGCATAGAGTACAGGTTCAGAGAAGAAATCTGAAAGAGTTAAAGCCAGGAATGGGGGTTCAGGCCTGTAGTTCCACACTCCCGAAGGCTTAGGCAGAGGATCACAAGTTTGAGCCCAGCCTGATTTTGTAATGACTTAATGAGACCAAAAAAAAAAAAGTAAAAAGGACTAGAGACACAGTCTTGTGTGAAGGCTGGAGATTCAATCTTCAGTACCACCAGGGAAAAGGTATGGGGAAAGAAAGAAGGAGGGAAAAGGAAGCGAGAAAGGAAGAAAAGAGAGGAGGAAGAGATTCTTTGACCAACAGAAACCTCAAACAAATTTTGCACACAAAAAGAAACAAAGCGTCCCCTTTGCTATACTTTTACATGTGCTTCCCTTTGTGTGGTAGACTAGTTACCTAAATTACTGTAATTGTTAACATAAGTCAGGGGAACATTTTCAGATCCTTCCCTGACCCTCCAATCTAGGTCCTAGAATCTTCTAGTCATATACAGTCTAGTCCTACTTGTAATGATATATGCAGTTGGTCTTTTATTTTGCTCGTTTCTCCCATGAACTGCACAGAACAAGACAATGAATGACTTGGTCGAAGTTCTCTGACAAAGCTGCATTAAATATCTTACAGACTGCTTAGCCTAGAAGGAATAGACTGTAGAGAGGTAGAATGCTACAGGTGAAGAACCAAAATTATGGTGGGCTATTTTAGTCCCTTTAATAGCCATTTGCCTTATATCTGACCTAACATTCTTGTAACTAGTGAACTTTTGGAACAGATCACTAAACTCAGTGGACCTCTAGGCTCTACCAGCCCTGAATCTAAGAATGGTATAACCCTAAAATCTGTAGGAGAGTTTTCCCTCTTTGCTACACTGAGTACCCGACACTGTTCCTGCAGGTACTTGTGATTGTATTGGGTTATGACTTTCTTTTGTTTTCTGGCTATAAAAGTTAATGTAACCTTACCAGGTGGCATTTGAATGTGTGTTCCAGCGCTATGGTCACTTATTTTGGTCAGAATAAATTTTATATTTCCTTAAAGCAGAGTCTTTATGTATGTATGACACCTGTTTACTCTGTGCCTATCCCCAGCACCCAGAATGCTGCCACGGCGTGGTATGTTCTCAGTAAACGTGGATTAAGCAAATGAAAAGGGTCCCATATTCACGTAGAATCAAAGGACCCCAAATGAGGAAGCATCCCCACACCTCCGCATCTCTGAGACTGGTAGTGATGTGGGTTGTCCTGCACCTTCCCCAGTCCCTGCAAGATTCCCTGTGCACACTGAGGGTTCAGCTGCACGGGTGGTTTTAAAGTGGAAGCAAAAGCCACATGCACTGTGGTCCATTTGCTGAACGAAGGTCTGATCCATGCGCACAAGCCAGGTCCCCCACAAGGAGGAAGCAGCCTCCCCTCTGGGTTCAGGTGCACAGCCAGCTGACCCTTGCCTCTGAGCCTGGAGCCTTTTTGGCACGCTCCTGCCAATGCGCCTGGGGAGCAGGTGTGCTGATTGGCACCCCTGGCCTCAGCCCTGCCTGCTCTTGCCCCTGGCAAATTTCTGTCACCACCCGGAGAGTCACCCTGACCCAGCGAAGCCAGGATCCAGACTCACACTTCCTGCAGCAGGACGAAGAGGATAGGTGACTGTGCTCAGCACTGTCCCCTCTTGAAGGGACCATGAAGGCCTGGTTGGGGCTGCTCAGAGTCCTGGTGGAGCAGCTGCTGCAGTCTATAATGGTGCTGCATGTTGTCTTTCTCTTCGTGGTGTTTGGTAAGCAGCCTGCAGCCTGGGGGTGGAAAACCAGTGCTATACCTTCCCTGGGCTCCATTTCCATGCCTGAAAACCATCTCTAGGGAAGAATGTGGCTAGAACTTTCCACTGAGCTCCCTGCGAGCCCCAGAGATAGTCAAAGAGGAAGAGTGGAGTTTTTGTGTCCAAGAAAGGCTCATAGTAAATAACTGGTTACCAGCTTTATTTTCCTTTCAGTGTGTGTGTGTGTGTGTGTGTGTGTGTGTGTGTGGTCTCTTACTTGCAAATAAAGACAAGAGTTAGACGTTTTGGCAACTCTATTCACCCAAATGTAACCATCATTCAATGGAGTTATAGAACATTGTACTTTAACCCTTCAGAAATTGGTAAACATCTTTCTTTTCATTTGATTTAGACAGAGAGTGCCTGTGTGGCTCAGCCTGCCCTTGAACTCCCTGTGTAGCCCAAGCTGGCCTCAATCTCTGAGATTTCAGGCCTGCACCACCACGCCAAACTTAGCTTGTTTCTTGAACAGAATTTAATACCTAACTATTTAAAACCTGATCCCTTGTCTCCGCACCCTCAGAACCACAAAGATTTTGTTAACTTTCCTGTGTTTACCATTTCCCAGGGGCTGAAACAAGAGACCCCATCACATGGTGCACGGAGCTGAGCGGTTTGTACCTGGACATGCTACAGCAATGGCAAGCAGAAACACCCCAGATTTGCAGGGAGATTCATTTATGTTGATGGGCACTGCTTGGGATCATCCCCAAAATATCAGGCACTCATCTCTGGTGGTTTAGGGCTTCGATAAGGGATAAGCAAGCAGGAAGTACAAGGCAGAATGGCTTGCCGATTGGGATTGGTTCTTACAGTATGCATCATGGTGACCAGCTATGCATCACCATAAGCAGCTGTTTCTAAGAGACAAAAGCCACAGGAACTGGGACAAGAACTACCACCTTGACAACTAACAAAATGAAATATTCCAGCTTAGGGGAGCATCTTCTGCTATATTTTCCTCCTCTTCTAGTTTCCCAGCAAATTTTTCCTGGGCATGTTACATGTGATCTTCTGAGACAAAGCCCAACTGGAAACAGTAACATTGAGGTTGTCAGGGGTCCTAGCCAAGGTCTCTAAGAGTGTCTAATTACAAAATTTTCTCCTAAATTGCTTTTGGGAAAAGACATAATTTAAGCCTATCAGTTCTGTAGCATTACTCTGACAAGGTAGTGAGGGAGTTAATCTGATCTAGGAGAGGGTCCAGTGCGCCTTGGATGCTCATCAAATCTTGGTCAAGTATTTGATTGACTGTTTATTCTCTTGAGGCAACCATCCATAGAGCTAAGGCAAAGCAAGGACTGGGATAAGCAACATGAAAGAGCATAAAAATCAAGGGGAATAGATATGGGGCAATCCTGCGAGTGAGTCTGGTCAGTGCTTCATCTCTTCCACGTGAACTGGATGGTCCAGGTAAATGTTCTACCAGCTCTAAAGCTGGATTGCTGAAACTTGTTGAGATAGTTAATATGCACCTGCATTATATGTGTGTGCAGGACTGGGCTTTTAGCTGAATCTGTATGGAGCTGACTGACTTTTGCAATGACTGTGGGCTTGCATAGACTCAATCTGAGAGAGCTCAGTCTGTCCTATCTATCCAGGCCTGACAGGTGGAGAGAGGTTTAGGTTGAGGAGAGGACATAGATCATCAGGTTTCTTTGTGCATTTCAGATGGAAGGGGCATTTATTTTTTGTGTTCCTTACCCTTATAGCTCATAGTCAGAGCGTATGGTCTTCTATCAGATTAGATTTTCTTACAGACATCAGGTGCTATTCTTCCATCAAGTTTCTGAGCAACAATGGCTGATGGATATTTTACCCTTCTTTTTGATGTCTTTGAGCGCTCAACTGATTTTCAGTTTCTGGGCAGGGAAACCTTGGGAAATGCCATGGCAACTCATTTGTCAGGGTTAATAGTGCAAGGTTTCCTCAATCAAAATGTGGAACTCAGAAGGAATTGCTGACAGTTGTCTTGGGAAGCCATTAAATGGTGCGGTCTGATAGGACCAATGCCAGGATAGGCATTGCCATGAAGCAGAAGGTCTGGAGGGAGGGCCTCTGGTTAAACCAGTTCTATTGGCTGGAAGCAGATGAGTTGGGAGCATGGAGTGAAGCTATAGGTGTTGACAGCAACTATGATGGCTGACAAGGGTGCCACAGCAGAATTCTTAGCAAGAAGGGGCTTTTCTCTCCTTTTAATTTTTTTTTCTTTTTTAATTATTTATTTATTTGGTACAGGGTTTCGCTACACAGCTTGGACTCATAGTGATTCTCCTGTCTCAGTCTCCCCAGCTCTGGAATTACAGGCATATGCCACCATGCCCAGTTTCAGTGGCCAGCATGGGCCAGCATGGAATGTGGTACTGGGGAATCAAACCCGGGTCCTTGTGCTTGCCAAGGCACTTAGACCACTGAGCTATCTCCTCTTTCTTTTTCTTCTTCTTCTTCTTCTTCTTCTTCTTCTTCTTCTTCTTCTTCTTCTTCTTCTTCTTCTTCTTCTTCTTTTCTTTTGAGACTCAAAGGGATGACTTTAGTTTCATTTTTAATTCCATAAAAGCCCTTTTATTTGGAGTCAGGGCCTGTGAGTTTTGACTAATTAATTCTGATCTCTGACTTTCTATGTGTGTGTTGTGTGCCCTTGAAAGATGGTAGAACAGAAAAAGGTGGGTGCCTCTCAGAAAGCAGACACTCAGATGACTGCTTGGCCATGCTCCTCCCAGGAACTTAGACACAATATAGGTAAGGAGGATGTGAGGATGTGAGGTCTCTATTAAATCTCCTATGTAGGATGGCATGGAACTGCAGGTGAGACTCCAGGGAGCCACTGCAAGCAGTGCTTCTGGGTCCTGGTGCACAGATGGAGCAGCCTATTGCATGTGCTGTCCTGGCCACTCACACATTCACTGAATAGGCGCTCAGAGGTTAAACATCTCAACCCCTTCCATTGAGTGTGGTCCTCACTAACAGGGGTTGACCTGATTCTGTTTGAGCTGAGAACTGCCAGACAACTGGAGTGCCCCTTGGGGCCTTACTGGAATCAGGCAGAAAGACAGACAGACAGATAGACTTCAGCCTCCTCACTTTGGGGTATGACATGAGGCACTCAAGTGGGAATCTTCTCCAGGATCTCTGAGGGGACTCCAAAATCTTGAGTGCATACCTTCCCATGATGACCTAGAAAGGTCCTTCTTGCACTGGTCCTTGAGGGCCACAAATGCTGAACAAAGAGGCCAGCATGGTCAGTCTTCCTGACTGACACACCAGGCGCAATGGCAAGCAGAAACAATGAAACAACATCAGAATCTCAGGCAGATTTATTTATGATGACAGGCACTGATCAGAAGCATTTGCAAATGATCAGGCCTTCATCTCTGGTGGTCTAGGGCTTATATGGGATAACCAAGCAGAAAATACAGAAGCAGAATGGCTTATCAATTGGGGATTGGTTCTTATGCTTCATAATGATCAGCTATGCATCATAGTGACCAACTGTTTCTAAGAAACAAAAGTTACAGGAACTGAAACTGGAATTATTACCTGGGCAACTAACAAACTGAAGGCTAATACTGGGGTTGGGGGGGATTCATCTTCTGTTACATTTCAACCCAGAAGTTTGTTTCTGTTGATTTCCAAGTTAAAGCCATGCAGTTAAAGCACTAGAACTAAAACCCTGGAGGCCTCCAGGGGAGTTAAGTTTAACCCTTAACTTCCTCCTCTGTGCAATAAATACTGGATAGTCCTTATCTCACAGGATTATTTGGATGGCATTGTTAATAGTGGAAGGTGCTTACAACAGTGTCTGACACATCCTCAGCTCTGGATGAGTTTATCTGGGAGCCTTTCATGGTGACTTTTTCTTCATGTTTGTTATGATCTTGGAGAAAAGGGGGATGGAGTGGGAGAAAAGGATTATGGAGAAGCTCCTCTGTGGGAATTTAGAGCCCTTTGAAAGCAAACAGCCTTTATACACTCTAAAATCCTGAACTGAAAATTATTGGAGCTGTAAGAAGAATAAGAAACTCATGGCATTGTAGAATTTTACACTTTGAAATGGATGTCACATTTCTGGGCTCTGTATCAGCGATTCTTAACCCTGGCTGCACATAGTGCTCAGGTTCCATCCCTCAAATTTGTAATTTCTCATTTTGGGAATGGAGCCCTTGCCTCAGGGCCTTTCCAAAGAGCTCTCCAAATGAGTGCCTTGTGTACAGAGGGCTATAAAGGAGGTCATTCATAGCATTAACTCATGACATCCTCACAGGCCAATACCTAAACAGAATTGGTAACACTGTGCTTTGTTTTGCTCTGTCCTTTGACCAAAGGACACAGAGATGTCCTAACAGATAAACTCATCCAGAGCTGAGGACGTGTCAGACACTGTTGTAAGCACCTTCCACTATTAACAATGCCATCCAAATAATCCTGTGAGATAAGGATTATCCAGTATTTATTGCACAGAGGAGGAAGTTAAGAGTTAAAGCTAAATTGTTGAGTGTTACTGGCTAGTAGTAGGTGAAAGAGATGGATACACACCCACGTATTCTGCCCAAACTCTCTGCTTCAACCACCATAAATCTGTTTCAATAGCTTGATTTTGAGCCTGCCTACCTAACCAATCATGCACTGGATGTCTGAGAGATCACTGTCCCTATATTTCAGGTTGTCTTAGTTATTTTTCTCTGGTTGTTGAGGCCAAATTCCCAACAACCAAAGTTAGAGGGGAAAAGGTTTATTTAGGTCACAGTTTGTAGAGGTTTCAGTCCATTATTGACTGGCTCCTAAGCAGAGTAGTATGACAGACAGGCATCACAGAGGAGAAACAGTTTGTGGCAGATGATGACAGTTCTTCTATCACCTATAACTTATCCAGGGTACTTAGAGCAAGTAGCACTCATACCCTTAATCCTAGTGCCCTTGAGCCTAGCACTGCTCCATGAGTCAGTCCCAGCATCACATAC